GGCTCGGCCGGGCCCTCGCCGTCCCACTCGGCCAGGCTCTGCAGCGGCGGCTCGGCCGGGAAGTCCTTGCGGGGCGGCTCCAGCCCCAGCTTGCGCGGCGGCACCGGCGCCGCCTTGTCCGGGAGCCCGCGGCGGGCGAGGCGCGGCGACTCGGCGGCCTTGGCGTGCAGCTTGGCGGGGAAGGCGGGCGGCGAGGCGGCGGGCGGCGAGGGCGTGTGGGCGAGCGGCGACAGCGGGATGCTGCCGGCCGAGCGGCACCGCGCCGCCCGGTACTGCCGCTGCAGCTTCGGCGACAGCCCCTGCAGCGAGCTCGGCCGCAGGTGCGGGCCCGCCGGTGACGGCGGAGCGCTGGAGCCCGGGGAGCTGCTGGGCGGGGAGGCTCCTGCGAGGAAGCGGGTTAGCGAGCGGGGAACGGGAACGGGAGCTGAGCACCGGGACCGGGCACCGGGCATCGGTAACCGGGACCGGGCGCTGAGCACCGGGACTGGGCACCGAGCATCGGGCACCGGGACCGGGCACCGAGCACCGGGACCGAGCACCGGGACCGGGCACTGAGCATCGGGCACCGGTAACCAGGACCGAGCGCTGAGCACCGGGACCGAGCACCGGGACCGGGCACTGAGCACCCGGACAGAGCACCGAGCACCGGGACCGGGCACCGAGCATCGGGCACCGGGACCGGGCACCGGGACCGAGCACTGAGCACCTGGACCGGGCACTGAGCACCGGGCACCAGGCATCGGGCACCGGGACCGGGCATCGGTAACCGGGACCGGGCACTGAGCACCGGGCACCGGTAACCAGGACCGGGCACTGAGCACCGGGACCGAGCACCGGGACCGGGCACTGAGCACCGGGCACCGGGACCGGGCACCGGGACCGAGCAACGGGACCGAGCACCGGGCACCGGGACCAGGCATCGGTAACCGGGACCGGGCACCGAGCACCGGGACCGGGCACCGAGACCGGACACTGCCGGGCAGCTTCGGGCACCGAGCACCGAGCACCGGCACCGGGCACCGGGACCGGGACTGAGTACCGAGCATCGGGCACCGGGACCGGGCACTGAGCACCGGGCACCGGGACCGGGCATCGGTAACCGGGACCGGGCACTGAGCACCCGCACAGGACACCGAGCACCGGGACCGTGCACCGAGCACCGCGCCCCATTCCCGTGACCACGCCCCGTTCCCAACCCCCCGCCCCTTTCCCGGTACCGCCCGCCCATTAGCCCCGCCCTCTCCCGCGGCCCCGCCCCTTACCGGGGTCGCGCGCCCGCGCGTGCGTGGGGGAGGCGGGCAGCGAGTCGGAGGAGGAGAGCGAGCGGCTCAGTGACGTCAGCGAGCGGCTCGTGTGCAGCAGCGAGGCCTGGCGCGCCAGGTGCCGGAACAGCGCGCTGCGCCGCCTAGCGGGCGGGAGGACCGTCACATCCCGCGCCCCCCCCTCCCCTCCGGTGCCCCCCGGCGCCTCCCGGTGCCCCGAGCCCACCTCTCGTGGCCGCTGCCGGTGCCCCCCCGGCGGTTCCTCCGGGCCATCTTGGCGCGGGCGCTGCGGCGCCGCGCGGGGCCCAGGCGGATCGAGGTGTTCTCCAGCGGCGTCGTTGTCACCAGCACCTTGGTCCCGCTCTGCGCCACAGCGGGGTCACGGCCGCGACCCCCGACACCCGCCCACCGCAGCGGGGCTCACCCCCTGCTCGTGGCCGAGCTGCCGCGACCCTGCCGTGACCCACGACTCCCCCCCCCCCCGG